TTGCGGTTGGTCCTCCCATCTGGTGTGAACAGTTCTGGCCTAAACTCTGCTGGGCGTTAACTCGACATGATTGACCACATCAGATGCTCCTGTTTACACGCCCAATGACACATGGGTCCATCGCTTTGTTTAGATAAACCCTCAGATAAACCCTCCAAGCAAGGAATTCGCTAACTGCACCAGGGTCACGGTGCAGTTAGAGGAAACAAATCCCAGCTCCTTAGTTGTTGTTATCCCACTGTAACTAATAAGATAAGCAACTTTAAAAACGGTAATATCAGGGTATGAGAAGTATACTGTACATCAGTCAAATTTTAAGTGTATTTGATATGCATGTACTTTTCAAATACTGCAAAATAAGAACATCTTGATCTTACCAATCAAACACAGTGTTACTTATACAGGTGATGTGTTCTGAGGTTCCTCTCATCATGAAGTGTAAACTGAACATGTCTGGTTTATTTTTCAGTGTAAACTACTCTGTTTATTCTCCTGCCCCCCAACGACATCCAAGTTATCTAGTGTTCCAAATTGTGTAGATTTGAAGACACTACCCAAGATGGAAGATCTGGTTCAAAGTCGTGCTGACATGCTAAGAAATTAAGGCTTATTAAACTCATTTGTGAGGCAGTGGTGGCCTAAATATTGGGGATGATCTTGTGACTGGACCAGCAGGATTAAATCTGGGTGGGACAGGTGACAAAGCAGTGCCTGCCATGCCCTGCTTCACAGCAAAGTGGTAGCCTTGAGCAAGGCCCTTAAACTACTGCTCCAGTGGAGCTCCAGTGGTCACCAGGTCAGACTGTGGTTGTACTGGGCAGCTTCCAGATGTGAATGTGCAACTGTGTGAATGTGAAAAGGGTGTTCCTGAAAATGAGAGGTAGTCTCTCAGTGGGCCTACCCTCACTAAATAAATGTTAAACAAAATTAGATTAATCTTTATTGTTACACTGACATGAAACCGTTTTTCCTTGAAAGGTTTTTCTTACATGTATCCCAAATAAGTGATCTAAACTCTGAACTACATTTGTGACTTTGAGAGACTAAAGTCTTTATGTTACTTCTGTGTAGATAATATCAACACAGGTGCAGCATGTCTTCAATAAGCAAGTACAGTTGTGTGTTAAACGGGAAACAAAGACCAAAAATAACCCGCATTATGGATATGTGTGTGGAGGAGACCTCCAACCAAGGGCACCCATTTATATGATTATTTAAGTATATCCTGTTTACCAGAGTTATGCCAGCCTGCTCTCCCTACATGTAAAATTTATGTTTTGCAACAAAAATGGCCACAAGATCTACTGTGGCACTACTATTCTGACTGGATTAACAGCAAACAAACAAACAAACAAATAAATCAGCTTTATATGAAAAGTTTGATTAATCACAATAAAATGTATAGAGCTGTGGATGTGGCAGATTAATTACAATACATCATATAAAGAACCCAGCAAGATATTTATGTAGCAGTAAATAAATTCATCTGACTGAGTACGTGCTCTGCATTTCTGCCCTTGAAGGGTTGTTACTGTGCAGCAGCAGCTAGAGACTGAGGGGCTGAAGAATGTACAGCAGATACCCTATGCAAAGACTTCAGTTAAGTTAGTCATCAAGATAACACATGGGCATTTTGCAGCATTACTTCTATAAAGTGCTGCACAACTGCTGCCCTTGAAAGTTGCTCCCTCCAGACTGTCAGTCTGGCTGGATAGATTCTTCAGACTGGATGCCACCGTGATCCTTCCCTAACTACATGGAGGCTGTCGCACAACAGGGTATTATTGACATGTCCCAGTGGCAGAGCTCCACCACCACCACAGCTGCTCAGCAGCGTGATGCATTTACAGACTTGGGGTAGTGGTAGTCTAGAGGATAAAGAGCTGGGCTAAAACAAGACAGCTGCTAGTGTAAATGCCTGGTCCAGCTGTGGAAATGTGGGCAATAAATGGGAACATTAGTTGCCAATAATAGGAAGAATCAATATGTTTCAGCCTGAAATAGCCTGTGTTAAGGTTACATGATTACATGTAAAGTCCAAACCAAATACACACGCTGAGCGGCATCCATCATGGCCACCTTAGAGTCCATAGACCAATCGCTGATCATATTTATTAACAACTTTTTATCCTTTGGTTTATCTAAACTCATAAATTTAAGAACAACTTCAGGACATGGTAATGTGTTTGCCCATTTTATTATGCAGCTCACAGATGCATGAATGTGAAGGTGAATGTTACTGCAAACACATTTGCAATCCCATCTTTTGCCAGAAAAATAAAAATATAAAAAGCAGGTAGTGCTGCTCTCATCCTTCACCCATGGAGAAACATTTAGACACAGACAGACATTGATATGTAGAGTGAATAGGTGACAATGTGCTCATCCAGCTATTTCCTGAGGCTAACTCTGGTAACAGAGGAGAAAATGTTGTCTTCCTCCTCTGCATAGCCCCCCCACAAGTTCCTTTTTCATGTTGTCTTGCCACATCTGTTGCCTCTGACCCTGAGGTGGATAAATCACAGATCTGACACAGGCTGAGGTAAATTTGACCACTTCCTGTTTCCAGCCCCATTGGGCCCCGTCTGGAATGTGGGTGTGCAGGACTGTGCAGCCCAGTCAACTTTGGAGTTTCTAAATACTGACAGACGTTGCTTCTGTGGGCAGCTCAACAGAAAACAGTGTAGCAAAAATTTGCATTGGACAAACCAGGAAGAAGACGAGAAATATTGATCATTTGTAATACGTTTGACTGGATATGGAGATCTGTCTCTGTTATTAATACTGACTGCTATAAAATGGTGTTTATTGTTGTATAACTGTTGATTGTAAAGGCCTCAAAATTGACTATTTCTTTGCTTGAAACCTTAACATTTTGTAAAAATGCGTGTATCTGTTTAAAACAGCATTTTACCAAGAAGATGCTTATTGCCTCAACACATCGCTTCACATGGTCAGTCACAAACAAACATGATAATGTCCCACACTGTCATGACAAAGGCTACATGTTGAAACTAGGTCATTGTGTTTATAATCTAAGCAGACGAAAGCAGCAAATCCTCACATGTGTGAAGGAGGAACCAGGAATTTTAGTTTGTTTATTTGTTTGTTTCTTAGTTTTTTGGTAGATAAAACAGTCAACAGATTATGGAAAAAGCTGTAAATTAATTTTTTGACAATGGAGGGACTGATTAACTGACTAATCGTATTAGGCTTAGTGCAAATGTCTTCACTATATTCTCTCAGTGGCTAAACAGGATTAAGCTCCTACTTTGTAAAGACATATTTTCTACAGTAATAAGAATAATCCCATGCTTTGAAAATTTTTGAAATTCCATATAAATGTTTGTGAAGAACAGAAAAAAACTGCTGTCATGGTGATAACATGCAAATGACAATACATTTATTTTTGCAACTGAGAAGAGAATAGCAAAGAACAATCATCTACTGTATATAATGATATAACAGCAATAGCTAACCAAGGAGAGGTGACTATTTGTTTATACAAACACCTGAATTTTTAAAGAGCCATGTTTTAAGAGCTGTGTTTTAATGGGATTTAAAAGATCTGCATCTCTTCTGTCCACAATAAAAAAGACTGTGGTCACAGAATGATCTGTCACACATCACGAGACCCTGGCATGGAGCAACAGAGCTACGGTGTCCAACGAACAGTGTGGCCTTTGATAGCATGTCACTCACCACCACCCGGGCCCCCCGACAACCGCTGGTTTTCTTTTAATAACACAGCCTCCTCCTCAGCCCAAGAAAAATTTTCTTGGGGAAGAAGATGATGGAAACGAGTAAAGAAAACGGGAAGAAAGAAACCCCAATTTAGGGTTGTAATAATATGAACACATGGCATTTGAGGGTGCCAACAATAACAAGGGGCTCTGAAACCAGTGCATTCCTTTCAAATGAAACCCCATACTCGCCTGGCAGCCACCATACACTTTTCAACCCTATTCATCATCTAAGAGGCAGACTATGGTAGCACTGAGGGTAAATGCACATGCTGGCTGCTATTCATTGCTCTCATTGTCTCTGCTGTTTTAAGACAAAGATATTTAAAAAGAATAACAGCCTCTGAAATAGCAGTTTTTTTCTGACATCTCCATTATATAACACAATCTGAATATCATCACATTTATGGCTTGTGCTAATTATACGTTTGCTGGTAATGTTGAGAACGATGGGACTTTAGCAGACATGGTTGTACAAGGACCAGAGAGGAAGATTACATCAACTACAGCAGCTTCTGGCAGCACTGTAGTGGGATGTGAGAAAGAGTTTTGGGACTTACCGACTACTTTGGGCAGTTTCTGTCGCCTCAGTGGAATACGAGGAAGTTTAGTGCTGATTCGGCTGAATCGTCCACACAGGATCCGCTTGGCTTTTTTGCTGTTGGTAGAGTTGTCTTGGTTAGGACTGAAAAGGGATGATGCCATGGAAATCCAAATGAATCATTCAAAAGAGGCATGTTAAACCTGGCTCTGTGCCTCTTTGAGGGGTGAGGGGCAGCTCACACTGCTACTCTCATGGTAATATCAATATATATATGTACTAGGAGAAAGGTAAAAAGAACATACTTTCCTCTATTTTTATAACCATAGATGTTTCCAACTAAGAACTCAAGCCCCCAGCATGAACCACTGGGGCAAAAGACACCAATCTGTCACTCACTTGTGGTCGTCTTTGTGTCGACACAGGCAACAGCAACAAAGCAGCGAGAGGAGGACAATCAGTAAAAAGGAGACGAGGGTTCCAGCTGCAATAACACCCATCCTCTGGTTGGGCTCTGAAAGAGGAGATGCAATGAAATCTGGGTGTGCCACACTGAAGCAGGGAAGTTCTGACTGTCGGTTTAAACTAAACTTTGCTAAAGACCTTGGCACATAGTAAATTATTCTGATTTATTTAAAAAAAACTACAGATGAGTCAAGTCAAGAGTGTAGCTGATGGTCTGTAATCCTTATCAATGTGATTGTTAGCTTTGATAATAAAAACAGAGCATTGTGTTGCACAGTCACAATAAATAATGAACTATTAATCTTATTTCTCTCAAGACATGGGACTACTTATCCTTTTGTTTCTGATTTTCTACAAGCAACTTCCTCCCCTCACGTGCTCTTCGCTACATGCTCCTCACATAACTCATCAGTGATTTAGTGAGATACACAGATTCTGTTCTGTATACGTCTGGATGGCATTTGGCACACAGTGACACTACACACTAGAACAGAAACAAACCATCAGTTAAGGGGTTAGAGATGGTCACCCTGGGGTCTTTACACTGTCACATAAGACTCAGAAGCTTGTTTGGCAGTCTGGGTGTGGCACGTTGCTAGTATGGGGGTAGCGTTACTGTAAAAGTGACAAGGTCTTGTGATATCACCTACCCACCTGCTGCCACCTATCATGTACACTGGCCAAAATCCCTGATATATTTTGTGCATAATACAATGATATGCTCCCTGCTTTTTGTCACCCTTCTAAGACCTGCTTTTCTCTTTGCTTCTCTCCATCCCACACTTTGTTTCTTCTTCCTTCCTCTCCCTCTCTCTCTCTCTCTCTCTTCCTCTTTCGCTGGCTGGAGAGGAACAGAGCCAACAAACACAGCCATAAAAAGGACACTGGTCCGGGTCTGGAAACACTATCAAGGCCTCGCAACGTTAACTCTACTACTACACACACTGACCTCAATAAATCTGTATGTTAGTACTCAATGTGTACAGCCAACTATTAGACACAGGCCATATTAACAGCATCTGTTGTTTGGACAAACTGTTTTAAAGGGTTAGAACTGTTTGTGTATGAGTAGTGTGAGAAAAAAAAATCCTGTTTTGTCTCAGAAAAGTTACATTATTTAAAAAATCATCAGTTTCTCTCTACTGCTCTTCATAGAAACCTCTTTAAAAAATTATAACCACAAAGTATCTGGTTGGTCTTCAAAGAATGAAGGCTTTCTTACGGAGATAGCAGGCACCAGACACAGGATCACAGTTCTTCTCATGGCAAGAGCAAGTTAGGTTGCAGTTCACTCCGTACTGGCCAGGTTGACAGGTCATATTGCAGCTTGAGCACAGAGAAGAGACAAAACAACATCTGTTTATAGTTCATTCCAAGTAACAGATGTGTTAAATAGGACATAGAAAAAGAGAAAAGGATAAATAGGATCAGCTTTTTGTTCCATGCAAGGTTTTTTTCTATAACAGAAATTTGTAGGAATTTCACTTCTTTTTTCCCAGATTGTGGTTTATCCGTATCTGTAAAGATATGCCTCAAATTGCACTCCTTAAATTCCCAAGTGTGTGACAAACGTTATATGAAAGGCATCAACTGTTTTCTATGTGCGCTGCGTGCTGCCGAGGGCACGGACATGAGTTGCCTTATGACTTACTAGGTGCCATAAAACCCTGGGTCACATAGACACTCTCCGGTGACAACATGACAGATGCCGTTAAAACAGTGACTGCAGTTGTTCTCACAGTTCTCACCATACGTGCCATTGGGGCAGCGCACCTCACACCTGTGGCACACAGACGGAATGCCATGATTACAGTCATTTTCAAGCTTAGCTGAATGGGTCTTGGGCATTATCACAGTCACTGTAGGAGCTACTAGTTAAACGCACTACCATGATAGTTTTAACATTGAAAATGACAAAGCTTTTCTTTCACACATTTTCAGATTTTACAGTATGTTTTCTTACCTGTCCCCAATCCAGCCAGGGTTACAGTGAGAGCACTTGCCATGAATGGGGTCACAGTGGTGACCGTCTTTACAGGTGGGACACACTTCCTGGCAGTTTTCACCAAAGAAGCCCTTGGAGCAGAGCTGATCACATCGTGTTCCGTTCCAGCCTCGGTCGCAGGTGATGCAGGTTCCCTCTGTCACCTTACAGGGCTGCTGGCCCTTGCAGTGTCCACACCTGTGGTCAGTCAAGGAAAATTGGAGAAAAAAAAAATCAACTTTTTTACACAAAAGTCATCCATCTCATCTACGTATACTGAAACAGTTTAGGCATGATTAATCATAATAATCTGTATTTCCATTTCTCAAATTGTTACTTTAATGATTATTTAGAGAGGAGATAAAAAGATTGAACTCTGTGTTCTTTGGGGTTTATAGCAACTGCACAGTGTGAAAATGGTCCAGTCCATGGAAGGTAAAGCACTTGACCTAAATTGCTTTTACATGCTGGCGGATAATTATGAGATAATGCGAATACCAATTCCTAAATCTCACTTTATTATTGCTTCATTAAGTAACATGTTCAGGTATTTTAAGGACTATCAGCTGCAGTATATATCAAATCCTATTTCCTATCAAAACCACTAATGGATCAGACAAGGAAACTGAACATTAGGCATCTGCTGATCTTTTTCTCCCACCTGTTCCTGCAGTTTTGACCATAGAATCCAGCAGGACACGGTTCTCTGCAGAACTTCCCACGGTACCCTGGTGTACAGGTACACGAGCCGTCTGCCTGGTTGCACTTGCCATGAACACACTGACAATATCGTTCACATCGTGGGCCCCACAGCCTCTCTCGGCACTGGCAACGTCCCGTGAACTGGTCGCATGGTGAATTGTTACAGTTACACTGGATTCCACAGTTCCTCCCTGTCCAGCCAGAGTTGCACATACATCGCCCCGTCACTGCATCACATACAGAGTTGATGCTGCAGTAGCAGTTGTTGTTGCACTGGGGACCCCAAAAGCCAGGGTGGCATGTGCATTTGCCCGTCTCTTGGTCACATTTGCCCTTTTGGCATAAGCACGCGTTCTCACAGTTTGGTCCCCAGCGATTGTGGTTGCAGGTACACTCGCCAGTCAAATCATCACACTGACCATTGGGGTGACAATTACATTTCCCCTTGCAGTCAGGCCCCCAAAACTGGGCAGGACACTCTGTTAAATGACAGTATAATCATGAGAAAACAGGCAAAGATTCGTCTGACTTGTCAAGAGTAGAAATCTACAGGTATGCTAGCCACTCTTGGGTACAGCTATGTTTTGATCTAAATGGTAATACCACCATGGTAACATACTCACAAAGGCAATGCTAACATGAGGGAATGTCATTAGTTGTGCAAGTATTTAGCCAAAACCAAAGTACTGGACAAATTAAATCTGACTTGATGAAGGCATGAAAAGGGATCACCAAAGTTATTATAACTGAGGGGAACATGAATTTTTAAACCATCCATTGAATAATTGTTGAGACTTTTTACTCAAAACCACAAATGTCAACTGTATGGTGGTGCTACAGGGAAAGTCACAGGGTTGCCAAAGTCATCCTGTGATTCATCCTCTGGTACAAAATTCCATGGCAATCCATCAAAAACATATTTCAGTCTGGAACTAAAAGTGCTGGACTAACTGACCAGCTGGGCTACTCTGCCATGCTTCTGGCATGGTTAAAAATCCCTAGTGCAGTAAATTCATTATTGTGTAGGTTTCAATTTTTAACAAGAACTAATCATTGGTTTTTAACTTGTGAAATTTATTCTATTAATTTGACCTTTTACAGCAACACCATAGTCAAGAGGTAGAAATGAACAGAGAAAATGTGTAAAATCCCTTACTAGTGTCACAGCTAGCTCCAAAGTATCCATGACGACAGCGACATTCATTCGGCCTGACACACACCTCATTTTCCTTGCAGGTGAAGTTGCCTTTGCAGAGAGCTAGTGTGAACAAGAATAGACCACATTATTCAACTGGCTTGTACAGCAAGCTACAGTATATAACATGCATCAGTAAATGTTAGCACTCTGTGCGGTTCATACGTGTCAGGCATTCATCTCCTAGCTGGCCCCATCCACTGCAGCACACCCATCCTGATGACCTGGGGGAAAAAGTGATTTCAAATGAGCAAGGAAAGATGAAGTGCATAACTAAAATAAAGTAAAACAAACACATATCAAAGCGGCATCCACACCCGACTCGTACCTCTTTGATCTGACAGTTTTTATTGATGCAGCTGATTCAGCAAACATTTGTAGGGCATTGTACATAATACATATGCTTAGCACATGGTTGTATAATTAACTGAATATGGGTAACTCAAAGTTGTACAAGGTATGCAAAACCTGTTAAACCCTGTTAAACAGTTTACCAGATTCTTTGACTTTCCCCAGCCTTTGTGAAAATACTGAAGTATGAATATTCAGGGACAATATTTTGCAGACACGTCTTAGGCCTGTCGAAAAGGATGACTGTTCCTCCTGTGCCTGCGACCTCTGTGGGCCTGTGCAACATGTGAGCTTCCCCTAAACATGGCAGTTTGCGTTAGGTCAGTGAGTATGGAGCAACGCTGTTTTTTTAATCTTGCCAAACTAGGCGTATGGAAGACATCACAGTTCTAACATCTGTATGCTTTCACTTTTCCAATATAGCAGTTGATTTAACATCTAGTAGCACTGCTGCTCCAAAATTGTGATGAACTCCAGTGAACATGTATAGAGTTGACCCTTGTTGACCTTTAACACATTGACATTCCATGTTGGCATTCAGGAAAAAGGATGACCTCATCGTTGTGCACCATTAATGTGATGTTTATGAACAAAGCTTTGCTTCTGCTTGGTTTTCATTATTTGACAAGAGTTGTAACTAGTTCTGACAAAGGGTTCAAACTGCTGCTCTTTTACTGATTCAAAAACACATTTTTTTCTGCATCATTATTTAAAACATCACAAAACATCTTTTCTTTTGTTCCCAGATATTTTTTTCAGGAATACTTGATTATACAAAACAATGAGTTTTAAATAAATCATCAAATAGTAAAGTTAGGGTGTAGCTAGATTCAGCAGCAGATTTTGTAATGTGAGGACACATTAGCAAAGCTGACTGGTGATGATAAATGCTGAACTACTTCCTTCTATTCATATGATTCAAGACAGAAAAAACTAAAAACAATATGGTCATAATGGGAATGAGTGAGTGGTATGGTTTTATATTGAAAGGAGTGCAAAATGGCAAACTTGTCGAGCAATGGAGGCCAGCGCTATATACGGCATATCACAGTGAAAGCTCCACAAAGCACAAAAACAGGCCATACTTTCCTGGTAGATGACAATTTGCTGCACTCTGAAGCAAAGGAAATTATGTGAGATGACAGCACTGTTCAACTTTTGATGAACAAGTCCTGATTACTTGACAGTTCAGCCTGACTGCACGAGTTTATGCAGTGTGTGTTTCTTCTGATAAGCTATTTTCAGTTTTGCTCCAAGAATTTTGAATGCACAGGAAATTTTATTTAGTGTTCATGGTCATCTGTTGCAAAGTCTATAAGCAGGTCAAGTTATGTTTGCAAGAAACAATAAGTACTTCAACAAAACTATAAGCGCACGACCTTTCATCGCACATATTTTATATCATAATGAAAAATGAGTCACATATGTGCTGTTTATTGCCTACCATAATTTCAAAATTCATAGTTCAACAAGCTTGGATACTGCAGCCAGCACCTGTGGACTTGAATGTTTTCCTTATACACCTGTACTGTAACTAGACATACACATGCTCAGCTATGTGAATTCATATAATTCTGTTACTTTTTAAAATTGCTCTTAACCCTGAAATAAACTGTTAATCAAAATAAACTGTTTTAAACGTTTTATAACTTAAATTCCCTCAAACTCTTCAAAACCTCCTTTAAAAAGTCAACCACGATGTTTTAGCAAAGGGCACCACTATTATTATGGCGTTTAATAACAGCGCCCCCATACACAGCAATGAACACACTCCTGTTCCAGATGTACACATCTGTATAGCTGCTTTCCTCAGCTGACTCCTCCTCCTGCTATACAGCGGACTGGGAACGCGTTATACACTGCATGTTGAAAATAAAAAGGTCAACGCCTAATAATACATAAAAATGGCAGCGTTAACAGGATTTCACACGATATAAAAACAATACAACAGACTTTTAGAATAAAGTCACATTTTACAAGTCATTCTTTCATTTTAGTGAAAATCGCCATGGCCATGCTGAAAAATGGATTGGATCACGTCATTAATGCCTCATATTCAATTTTAACACAATTCAAACGCTGACCGAACTATTTTAAATAAAGTTTTGTCCTAAACTAAGGGAGAACGAGTCCGAAATATCACAAGGAAAACTTAGAAACAAGCTGGCATACATTAACAGCCAGCAGAATGAATCTTATTTTCTTCTGCACTGATGCTTACCCAGGTGCTTTGCATACATTCCTGCCTTTGGGATTGAGTTCTTGGCTGAAACTGGAGCAAAAGAAAAGGAAAACTGCTGCAACAACAGCAAAAGTGTTCTTCACTTCCATTGTACAAGCAGCAGCAGCATCCTTCTAGATGCATTCTCCTTCTCCAAAAGTAAAGATGGTGGGGTTTCACTGTATTGTAAACACTCCAATTACTTTCACACACATAATCCAGATGTATCTACTTTATAAATATCAAATCCTTGTCCTTAAGGTGCTTTAAAAAGTCTTTAAAAGCCTCTACGCCATCGAGAGATTCAGCAGCGAAAAAGTGACCAGCGACACAAACCCCAGCAAACTGGGTAAGTCACCGTATTCTTCATAAATGTTTTCCTGCAGTGCGCGGCTTACTCCGTAAAAGTTTCTAAAACAAGCCATCATGCAAGGCTGATGGGTCCAGACTCATACTGAAACAGAAAGAATTTTGTTTCCACCATAATGTCCTCAACACATCTGGAAGCGTGTAGGTTGATGCTAATCTTGACAAAAATTAAAGTCAATTAGCTGCCTTTCGCCTTTGGCTCTCTGAGGAGAAGCGCCCAATTCGTAACTTTTGTCTTCTCTAGCGCTCTCAGGAGTGGCAGGAGGGAGATTCCTGATTTGTTACTCTATCTTTGGCTTTGTGCGCCATGCGTGCGCCACCAAATTTGCATAGCCTGGACTGTGCGCAACATTAAAGGCCCAGGTTAAAAATCTCTTTGCAACGTACAGTAATTTTAATTGTAACAAATATAAGTTTAATGGAGGCTATTAAGATGGAAAATAACTGCTCTTTTATGTCATATTACCAGTATTGTCGTTATCCTTGACAGTTGCGCACATTTTAAGCAACTACGTCTCATCATACAAACTTTAAATTGCACACTTGTAGATGCGATTCAACATGAATCGCATTGAGTGTGTGTGTGTGTGTGTGGGGGGGGTGCAACAGTACAATACTCGTTGGACAATAGCTCCCCCACCTGTTAACATGAAAGAAGTGGTGGGGGCATATGTCACGCTCTGCATTAAATCTTGTACATTCAAGTGTCAGGCCTTTGAACTACTGGAGACTATGGCGCCAAGAGAAACATTATGTTTTTATTGACTATAATAGCATCCAGTCCGATGCTTTCTTCAACAAACAGTTGCACAATCATATGCCTCACAAGAGCTCATCTCATTGCACTGGACGGCTTTGTGGATCCTCAGGGGACTTTGAAGAGGTTCAGGTCCTGAATAAAGTCATTACTCCTCTACAAAATGTTGTCACTGTAAATCTCCTGCCATGATCTGTCATGTCAACAAAACTCACTGCCAAAATATAAAAAACAAATACTGAGGCTCCACATTTGTGATGTCTTTCAAATAAGTTTACATAACTACTTATTGGTTTATGAATAGTCTAATGTTTTCTGTTGTTCTGACTACAGCTGATGTAGTCAAATAGATAGACAGACAGGTAGAAAGAGGGGTCTTTAAGTTGTGTAATTCATGTAAATTGTTATGCATGACAAAACTGTTCCAGGGGTGAATTTTGAGTCCCACAATTACTTAGCCTAGATATTACTCATGCATGAGATTATTTGTCTGGCAAATTATTCTGAAAGCGAGGGACTCACATGAATAGTAGCAGCCAATCTGTCTCCAATTTAGTGCTCTCCAAGGGAATGAGGTCGTTTCCTTGCAAGACAAGTTTCTGAAACAAATTATTAAGTATTATCAAAAGAATCACTGGTGTACGACGTATTTAGGGCCTTTAAGCACATCATGCTACAATGGATAAATGCTCAGTAAAAGAATAAGTTTTAGTCAGGTAAAACTAGGTTATAGTCAGCAAAATGTACAAAAGTGCTCATCAGGCAAAACGTCCACTTTCAGGGGGAAATATAGTATAGGCCTACCTATATGCACCAATGTTTAGCGTTACTGGGCACAATATACAATGTACATTCTATTAATACTCTATTATTTAACTGTTTTGTTGTTTGGCTCTTATTTAATTACCTAAACACTTTTCACAACATTTGCATATTCAAAATATTACCGTGCATGATGGTTAATTGGGCCACAGGAGTGGCATAATATAATCAGCTGTTGTTAGACATGTAGGTGGCAAACGAGTGGCACACTAGGAAATATACACTCACTGGCCACCTGTACAATTGTATGTAGTTCATTGCAACACTAGTCATTCTCACCGATAACATAGATTGGATAGTGCTAGACATATTTATATTGTTATTCCTGTATTAATGCATACGGTGATGCATGGGAGTACCGTACTGCAGGTTCATTCTTTCCATATTTTTCATGGAATCACTGGAAAACTTGGCCGAAAGCAAGTGATGACCCTGAATGTGAAGTAATAATTAATCTGACATTACTCTGATTCATAGTGTAGTTGCAATAATTCACTCTTTGATTTGAAATTAGGACTATTAAAAATAAATAACAGACACGTTATATACATGTACATATCCAAATAGTGTGCTGTCACTCTTTCTGCCCAGATAATGACTCTAGGTAAGAAAACGCTTGGCCAGAGAGCCTTTGACCAGCTCATGAAGATGACATTTTATGGCCAGTTTGTGGCTGGAGAGGATCACAGGACCATCAGACCGCTGATCAAGAAGAACCAGGCCTTTGGTGTCAGATCCATCCTCGACTACAGTGTTGAGGAAGACATCAGCCAGTCGGAGGCATAACTGAAAAAGATGGAGCATGAACTTTGTAGTATTACCATAAAGTACAGTTCAGTAGTCATTACATGTAGAAAAAAGAAAAGAAAAGAAAAGTCTATGCTTTCAGTATTTCAAGTGAAATTTTTAACAGTATCAAAGTTAAGAGGAATCAGGGGTATGCATACTGACAAAAACTAAAAAAATAAAAAATAAAAATAACTATTGCACAATTTATGTTTTCCTCTCACTTTATGGTAAAAACTGATTTTTATTACAACCAGAAAATAAACACTCTTAGTCATGGCTCCCTCCTTCTGGACTAGTTGCTCTGAAGAAAATGTGTCACTTGTTAGGAATCGTGTCACAGGGTCAGCACAAGACAGTGGCCATCTGATCTGGGAGCTGTTGTAAACTGGTTTGATAGCACAAACCTTATGCAAGCAGTCTCTATGCACAGCAGCAGTAATGCTACTTACAGTCATGGCCAAAAAATATCGGCACTCCTGCATTTCTGTCAGATAACGCAATGTGAAACCCAGTGTCAGAAAGTTGGGTCTCCATCAGAGATCATGTGGAGAGATTTCAAAATGGCAGTTGGGAGAAGGATCCCTTTAAAACTGAAAGACCTGGATCAGCTGGCAAAAGAAGAGTGGTCCAAAAATCCAGTACAGGTGGAAGAAACTCAGATGGTTACAGGAAGTGACTGATTTCAGTCATTTTGTCCAAAGTGTGTGCTGCCAAATATTAGGTTGAGTGTGTCAATAATTCTGTCCAGTCCAATTCTGGAGTTCTGTGTAGATTGTAGCAGATTTGGATTTTGTTTCTCAGCTTTTTTTATGTTGTTCCAATGCAAACAAAATAAATAAACATGAGAATACAAAAGAATTTGTGATTGCAGCAATTTTCTGGGAGAAGTGGTGCATTACCTGACAGAAATGCAGGGGTGCCAGTATTTTTGGCCATGAAGGTAAGTTGTGGCTTTGGGCATTTGTGCATTAGGAGTAATTAGGACACCTCATAGTCCAGTTTGGCCCATTTAAGAGTTGATTCATATAGTCAGAGAATATTTCTGATGCTCATTTCATTGAAGTGAAAAAGACAAATGCACTTTCCAGATTTACTTAGTAAAAGTATAACAGTCAGCCAAAGAAGACTGACCTTTTAATTCTCAGACAACATCTTTAGCTTTCTAAATGTCAGACATTGTGAATAAACAAGGCTGTTAGGCAGTATATTAAAGGGTCAGGTTGTTTAAGTCTGTTGATGTAGAGTGACAGCTAGAGCCAAACAGAATGTCCTTAATTATAGTTTCATCACATTCTGTAACGTGATAAAGTTTTCCATGCAATCAACATATAAAAAAGGGTCAAAAAGTTTACTTTCAACCTTTCTTGTATGTTTTTGATATCACAAGATTTTCACTATACAGCTTTGATATGTTTCATCATGGTGACATCTGCTTGCAAAACAGGTATCAAACTGGTCAGTCAATCTAGAAATCTTACAGGTGGAGAGCAAGGTGCATTAAGCCAGCTTAATCACAGACAGCAGGGTTTGACAGGGGCTCCAATAATCTGTTAAGATTGCAAGAACAACATTGATCAGTTTTTTTGCAACAAAAGATACAAGCAACGGAGAAATGTCCTGGTTTGGAATCGAGAGCATGGCGTTCAAAATGCCAGCGTTCAGATGCATATGCCAAAAACTACAGTCCTTGATTTTACACAATTTGATTAATGCAGGCTTTTGAAGGCTGGTTGTCAAATTCTTGCTAAAGGTTCACCAGTTATCAATATCTAGCATTATTTGAATTCTTGGCAGTGTAACATTGGAAAGAGAACTTGTATCACTGGACCTTTGTTAATCCCAGCTAGTCAGTGATAGTAGACATGTTGAATTTTTTAGACCTAAAATTAACAATTATTTTTATCACTGATTAATGTCTTTTTAAAAAAAGACATTTATTTGTTTTTTTTGTTTGTTTATACTAATAATTGGTTATTTATTCAGTCTAAATGATGCCAGAAAACAGAGAAATGTGTTCTGACTAAAGGTCCAAAACCCAAACATGTTCATTTTATAATTATGTAGAACATTAAATGTGCCCCAAATGGCATTTATTGTTAAAAGAAGATAAGTTCCTTTAGTTTTCCTGCCTTTGAATCTTACTGACCTGTGATGTTCAGCATTCTTACTGTTCAGTCATCTGTATGGTTACATGAGCTCCCGGCTGCTCATGATGAGGGGAGGAGAGGTCAAGTGTAGAGTGATGCTATAGTGCCCTCTCTGGGGGGCCGGGGGGCTGGCAGCGGGGCAGCAGCATATATAGGGGTCACTAAACACAACTTTGGCCTCTGTGGCATGTTACTGCCACAGAGGCCAAAATGTTTACAGAAAGATTTCCAAATTGAACTTTAAAATGCTGAACTTGATGCAGCTTACATTTCTAATGTTGCCCAAGTGCAGGACACATTGACTCACCCTATCCTTTTGTATTCCTTTTAACTCAGCTTGTGCGTATCTGCTGCAGAGAAAGAAAAATTAGAGGTAAGCTACCTTGTTTTGCTCTCATTTGTGGAGATAGTATGTGATGTAACTAGAAGTAATGGGGAGGACTGCAAAGACAAAAACTATAAAGTGCACAAACAGTTAAGGGGCCGTCGCAGGGGAGTGACAGGGACCTGTTGAGGCCAAATGTGACCAGCACATGAAAACCTTCATCAAATGCATCAAAGCATCTGGTAAGCAAAAAGAAACTAAACAGTATCAGTAGTACAACTTTACAATATCTATGTTTTTGCACATTGTGTTAAAGTTGTAACTCTATGACTCAAGTCAGAAGGTACTGATATAGACTTCTATGGCTGGTTTACTGAAAGGAAAGATGTATCTTCAAGCATGAAACATTCAAGAAATATCTCTGAAATATCTGTAAAACAATTTAAGTTTTGCAGAACATATTTCATTATATTAGAGGCAATTTAGCGGAACATTCATTTTAATAAATTAGACTGAGAAGAACAAATTGTCTTAAAAGACTGTGATGCATTTTTGTTGTGGTAATACTTGACATAATAACTTAGTTTCATCATTATATCACAGAAGAATCATTGTTTTCCCAACACATTTGATCACAGTCTTTCTTTCTTGATTTATGCCTCATCGTTCCCTTAGTTTTCACGTCAAACCATCTTATGAAAGGAGTAAGAAGCTATGATAGTTTATATTACAGTAATTTTAGTATAACTCTTCTTTCATCTTTAGGGACAAGCTTAGCTACAGAGTGGCTAAAGAAAGAAAAAAGGATACTACTAATATTCACATCTACGCTGTTGCTATCATAACTTCACAGGTCTCTACTGGCCTTCCTAAGGCTGTTGATTTGACAGTTTCAGCCTCTACAGAATCAGCATTTGCCATCCTTGCATATAAATCTCAGCTGTCTCTTAACACCAGACCACTTGGATCACATGAAGTGCACATGCAGAAATGAGTCTGCAGCCCATAACGGGACATATGAACCGAGACACCTCGGTATTGACAAGCTGTCTTAACGAAGCACCGCTGACGGCTCTTACCACTTTGTTTGTCAGTCAAAGACAGACAGCCACTTGTCTGCCTGTGTGAGGCTCAAGGTAAAATGGCCTTGACTGTTATTGATGTAAACAGACATGTTTCTTTGTTGTTTTCTCGAGGGATAGAGCAGTCAGTGCTGTGGATTTGAATCCTGAAACAATAAAAAAGTTGTTTTGAAATACAGCAGATTGAAGTTACCACCTACTACTCCCCCTTTTTTAAGGGTGCCGGTGTTCATGATTTTGTTTTGAGACATATGGGATTTTCTTTCTCTGACTTTTGTTTTATTGTGTTATGTTTTGAGGCTTTGCTAGTAATTGTGGATTAGTTAAAATGCCATTATTTTTCAACGAATTTGAAGAGTAAGCCCTGGCTTATAGTCAGTATGTGAGCCTGAGTGGCAGACAGCAGCTCTTCTAATTCACATGCAGCAAACTGAGGGCGTCTGTGCAAATGCTGCAAACCTGCCTGATTACGAGGATTGTAGCAGTCATTCATTGAGGGAAAGCGTTCCAGTTGATGTCAAATTGTGACATTTTCTGGGGTTTGTCCAAAATAAACTGAAAAAGATGTTTTTTATTGAAATCGCAAATCCAGAAATTATAACCATTCAGTAAAAAAAACAGCATTTTAACACCTCCATGAAGAGTCTGATAATGTTTGCACATACACAATCTAATTCATCTGTTTATCCTCTTCAGCTGTGCTACTCTACAAAAGACCTTTTTTCTTTTGTTGTCTTCCATTCCATCCAATTCAACCCAAGGCCAAGTAGGCTTCCCTGTCTATAAGTACGTCCCCTATGGGCCAGTGAATAAGATGATGCAGACTTGCCTCTGGGGAGCTTCTCTACAGACTGGCGTGCTGAAAGCACAGAAGAAGAGACAGAGTGTGTGCATTTTTTTTTTTTTTGGTCCTTTTGGTTGATTGCTGCTGCTGTGCTATTCTGTCACTGGATGTACAGCTCCTATTGTACCCTGTCCTGGAGTTTTACTGCTGATGGACTGTTGTTTTCTTCATTACTTATTACCATCTGTTCCTCCCTGTTATTAGCCACTTTCACCCCCATCCTTTCCTCTATGTTCTGCCCATGTTCTCTCTGTGTCTTTCCTTATCTGCCTCTGCATCCATAAGCATTCTTCATTTTGACTTCCTGTTGTCTACAGAGCTCTGGAATCTATCAAGCAGGCATCTTTACTGCTCCAAAAGGACTCTCTAAAATGTCAATGAGACCGGGGTGGGTGTCTCTTTTTATCACCCTATCTATCTTGGAGAGGGACAATAATAAAAATAACAGGCTTGATTTAAATGGTAGTAAAGGAAATATCAATATTCCCTTACTATATGATGTTTTTTTCTTTTGGACAGCTACATTGTACCTCTAGGAGGCTGCTTTGCACGGTATATTTGTATTTGAGGTTGTAATGCTGGTTAGAAAAAGATGCCTGTTTATGAATCAAGCGTAAATGGCTCCTGCAGCATATCCCTCTTTTTGTGAGAGTGCAATACTTCTGTTATTGCATTCTTGGTCACTGAGGTGTTACAAGAAAACATACAGCATCAGTATTCAGTAAGTGAATTTTCTTTTAATATAGAGCCCTGCGAGTCTGACAGATAATATACAAGAGAATAATAAGTTACGGGGCTGCCTCTTGGGCTTATTGCACCTTGATGGATTAACATTGTGCAGTTCCTATCTTTGATGATGTAAATATGTTTGAAGGTGATGATTCTATTTGTGGTTTTATATCTCATTTTATGGACCTATGAAATAAAGCAGCAAATAAATGTGTACTGTATGAATGGCAAAAGTGTACATTAAATTTTTATTATGGAAAGGAAGGACTAGGTGTTACTGACATCAGTATTATAGTATTATATCCAAGATGAGCTATTTGTAGAGCTTAGATTGTCCTTTGTTTTTATTCCACTTGGTTATTGATATACAATTAGAACTTGAGTCAGAGGGTAACCACGTGTCATAATAATTATGGCCTTGTCATTGTATGAGTGCAGTTAGTGCTCTGCAAACCATCATTTAATTACCCATGATGCTATGTTCAATACAGATCACAGAAATTGGATGCATTAATCATTACTCAGAAGAAACTTCAGTGGATGGTAAGTTTTAGTGAGGCAGAGCACAACAGAGCTGTCACTGCTGCTGTATTCTATCAGTTTAATTAAGAACCAAGTCTGCTTTTGATGTAAGATGTGCCTTTGGGTATATATTTGCCAACAACCCATTCAATGGCACAGGAGTATTCTGGTTAGCTTCAATTGCAAAGACGATTTAGAGGACATATTACGCTGTAGTGTAAAAAATTCTTCACGTTTCTACTCAGTTAAAACAAGCATGGGCTCAACACATTCTCTGGGATTTATCAACTCCTCTCCCTACATTAAAGCATGCGGAAATGTGATGCTGAGGCTAGTTTGAATTTTGACATTGTGTCATTAAGGACGTGAAAGACTGCACATGTAATTGATCTATCTGGGCTCCTCGGCCGTTGGACCCACATGAGTTTATGGTTTGGATGGTACCGCACAGTTCTCTGGTGCTTTTCAAAGCACAGATATTTAGTGACAAGCCCTGATTTGAAAACATACCAAATATTGTTTTTCAGGTTTAAAATGTTGAAAACATTTGCTTTTTCTGCAGCAAAATGGATAGATTTACTTGCTGCTTTCCAGCAGCCACGTAATTTCCAATCAACGAAACTAAGGAGTGTTTTTTTTAGCTTTTGACAGCAAACAGAGATTACTGGTTCACAGTGCACAAAAACTAGGCTTGAGAACCTTCAATTGAATTGTTAAAATCATAACCACAGTAAGGAGATGATGTTAAAACTCTATTACGCTCCAGGAGGTTTGACAAAGGTTAGAGTAATCATTTTGCAATATACAGTAGAAAACTGACTGAAAAAACAAAATAAACAAAAACAAATGCTTTTTCCTTAAGCCTAAAGGAGTTTTGATCTGTCAGCACAATGTTTACCATGTAATCCCACCTAAACATTTGCTCCAGGAATTTGATATTCTCACTTCATCAACATTTTGTGGAACTACAGATGAGTCTGTCAATGTACTACATGTGACTGTGGCAAGGGTAGCACTCCCTCGCCACCTGCCTGCTGACTGACCTTTGGTTGCTTTTTCATTTCAACAACAACAACAGAAAAATCAATTTTTCCAGTCTGCTTTTCCAGTTATTATCATTACAAAGAGCATTACAGTATGCATGGTTGCCTGAGATGTTTAAATCATTTTGTACTTCTGTACAAATATAACTTCAGTGGAATAGAGTTAGGGGGAAAATACACAGAGGGGACCTTTAACAAAGGATTGGCTGTATTTCCTGGCATTGCAACACAGTTGCAACATATTTTCTACATGGACAGTCAGAATGATGAACACAGTATAACTTAGCTCATTCAAAAAAAATACTGAAAAGACATACTGTCCATATTTTATAGCATCTGAAGCTAACTTGGCTCAAATGTCTAACAAGGAGAAAGAGTTGTTAGCTTTCCTCATGGCACTGACATTTCCCCAGTAAAATAATTGGCAACCCTTTACACTAAGGTACATGGAAAAGTAAAGACTAAAGAGCAAGTGCTAAGGATTGAATAGCCCACAGATAGATCCCATATACTTGGTAATGCTGTAGAATACATTCTACAGTCTACACATAGTTTGGAATAGTGTGACATTTTAGTACATTAGCTTATTTGGTTTCTTGGTTCGATGTTAGATGAGAAGAGGACTGACACAGTCTGAGTAGCCAGCAGCCACTCGGTTCACCGAGACTCCAGGAAGGCAAGAAATAGTCAGGCACATAGTCCATTTTGATCCACAGAACAAAAATGAAACAAACAAAACTTATGAAATGAGATTAATGCTGAATGTTCTATAGTGTAGACACGAGAGCAGGCAGGTTGTGTTGCCTGTGGACAGAGCCAAGATAACTCTCCTTTCTCAGTCTTTGTGCTGTGCTAAACTAAGCAGGCGCTGCTGAAATCTTCATCAATTTGACACATTCAGTCACTTCATTAAAAAAAATGTGTGAGCATTTTTCTGGGGTTTTTCAAAATCATATGTTCATGTAGACTAGCTTGATTTCACTTTATTTATTTGTAGAAGGGGCTAGGGCCTAAACTGAACGACTGTAGCCTAAAGCTGAGGAAGTTTTGAGTGTTTTGCATATCGAGAATGCGATCTCTGACTGAGGATTAGCTCCTTACTAATATAATTTTAGGCTGTAAAACTTGTAAAAGCATTTGCTGTGTGAACATTATCTCATTAATGAATACGCTTCCTGTTAACCAGGATGAATCAACAAATAATCAGTCAGCACAAAACAAAATTACAAAAATATGACAAATTGCCACACTTAAATACATTAAAAATACAATGAACAACTCTGGGTTTAAGCACAGCTGTACTGGACTGTGAATCCAGCTGCATCTCTTCTGCTCTACATACAGTAATGCAAAACTATCACACAACAGCTTCTCATCACCACCTGTCTTGTCAAACCATGTTTATATCAACTATATAACTATTTTCCTGTAGAGCACAACCACCAACAAACTGACTGACTTGTCATACTGTGTCTGGTAAATTAGCACGTGTTAGTCCTGGTCAAGAAGGCTGTACATCCACAGTTACTGATCTAGTTTGTAATCTGACCAAACACCACTGCCAAAACTTGCATCTTCTCTGCAACTGTCCTTTTGGCTGTGTCACATGGTGTTTTCCCATTACATTGCCTTTCATTACAGGCAGAAATGAAGGGAATCGGTGTTGTTCATCGTAGCTAGTTAGGGAGAAATATAATGAACCACTGAGCTATGCTGACCTCAGAGTCTGGACCCAGTCTTGCACTGAAGGAATCCCCCTGGCCACAGTAAGCTCTGATGTGAACCAGTGAGTAAACAAATGAGTCGTAAACACAACAGATGGGACAGGCGATGGCTAATCTCATTGGTCTAAATAGAGTGGCACAGTGAAGCACAGATGATTAAAAGCTGAGGGAAAGCATGAGACAGGGGAGCAATGGAAAGTTTGTGCTTTCTGTCCTGCACACAACTCGTGTACTTTACACACCAAAGCGTCACATCGTGCCGCCATCATCGCTGTCATCACTGAGCTATCAAACACAAATCACTGAACTCATCTTCCAAATCTCCTGAGTGGATGTGTATGGCATAGTGTTGTCACTTGTCAC